GCTGCCGCGGTGACAAAGAAGGAGAAGAAGTAGTAATATTTATTTATTAAAAAAAATAGTCAGACTTCACCAAACTTCAATTAAAAACTACGGTTATCTATCAAATGAAATATTATATTCAATTTAAAATCATTCAGTTAATTGTGTACTAAGACTATTAAATATGTTTATAGAAAGTTTTTTTTATTTTTTCTTATTTTTTTTTTTTTTTTTTTTTTTTTTTTTTTTTATTTAAAGTTTTCTAGATTAATATTTTTGCCATGCACGAATTCAGTTTGGGCAAATCCGGGGCAACAAATATTAAAAATAGATCCGTACTATATTGTAAATAGTTTAAAATTTTATTACTGACCACCAACCTCCTCCAATATTCAGTTAGTAATTAGTATTATTAAATAAATATTAGTAATTTCTATAAAAATTAAGGAATTAAAATGTTTTATTTAGACTTTGACCTATCATTAATTATAAATGTGGAATTCCTCAGTATGATATATTAACTTGTGCACATCCAGTTTTCGGGCCAATCTAACGCAACGGACAAATCAATAAGTCATCTTTCTCCCTTTTTGCTTTAATCGTGTAAATTGTTACTTGAATTTTTGTGTTATTTTAATTTGATAATGATAATATTATGCTTACGAATCATTCTCTCTCGGCGCTCATCTCCCTAGTGTATTGATATATTTTTCTTTGGTTATATAAATTCAGTATAGGAAAGCAACATTTTTGCGAATATAATCGTGTATGACGAGATTATATCTTTTAGTTGTTAATTTTCTTTAATTTTTAATATTTTTTGATAATTTTGAAAATTGCTATGATAAATTAAATAAAAATACTGTATATATGTCCAATAATCTGAGAAATTATGAAATAGGAAAGAATTGACACTGTCGGGGATATTATTAAATTTTGGTTCACTAGTTGAGTTCAAAAATTGTTAGGGAAACAACATTAACAATTACCATTATTATTTTTTGCAATATTTTATAAAAATTCAAATCGTTTGAACTTGTTCGTTGAAACTTGTTCGTTGAAACTTGTTTATTTTCTCATGACTGAAAATTAGATTGGGCTTTGGGTATTTTATAAATTTTGGTGGTTTTAGTTAATTTTAGATTATTAGTACTTGTTCGATTTAGAGTATTTAATAATGATTAAAAATTTAAATTTAACCATCAAATATTAAAAGATAGTTTTCTTAGTCACCTTGAATGAACATCTTATTTAAGTAGTTATTTAAGTTTTGAAGGTAATAAATTATTATTTTTGCATATTGTAATTTTAAACATAAATAAGAAGATAAAAAAATTAAAATTAATATTTTTAATTAATTTAATTAAAATTAATTTAATTTTTATTTATAAACTTAATTTTAATTTTTATTAATTTATTAAAAATTAAAACAATTTTTTTTAATTAATTAATTTTTGTAAAATTTGTTTTAAAAAAGTTTTATTAGGCACCTTTGATGAACATTGTATTCACCTAGTTGATTTAAGATAATGATATATTTTACTTATTGTAATTTTGAATTTAAATAAGAAGAGAAATAAATATTTGAATCTAAGTACTTGAACAGTTCATAAAAACAAACTATTGCACTTTTTTTTTTTTTTTTTTTTTTNTTTTTTTTTTTTTTTTGCATTTGTTTATTAATTTATGCAATTGACCTAATAATGTGGAGCCATTATTTAGTTTTAATGATCTTTAATAATTGATACAAAACAGAAATGCGTTTGATTAATAAAGATCGACCAAAAATATGAAGTTCATTGATTCTATATATTTATATATTTTTAAACTCTGGTATATTACCTCCATTTTTAAGTAATTTCTTACTGCGTTCCTTTCCTTTTTTTTCTTCTTAGCCCTTTATTAAGTTTTTGTAAGAGTAAAGGACTCATAACTGTCTTCTCCGAACGCTGAAATCACACATATATATATAAGTTATTTAATCCGAATATGACTAGTATATATTTTAAAAAATCGTAGTGGCCGCCCACGCTGTTTTTAGTGTTCAACTTATCTTTGCCTTTCTTTTTTGTTTCGCAAAAACTATAAGACTTAGAGACATGAAATTGCTTAGTTGTGTGAAGAAAAATGCACGCGGATTGAGATGAAATAAAAAAATAACATTCGATAATTAATTCAAAAATTACTAACTTTTCAAAAATAAAATATTGTTGGAGAAATACAGAGTTTCAAGTTGTTGAAATCAACACAGAATTGAAACTTGGCATGATGAAAAGGCTACATTTGGTATATGAGTTTAATATTTTACATGAATATTTTTTTGTATATGAGTTTGTTCTTTCAAGATTCTAATTTGTTTGAAAATAATTGCAATTTTAAGTGCTTTTTTTACCAATTTTTTCTTGTTTTTTTTCTTTTCACTACATTTTATTTTGCAGCTCAAAAACTTTAAAACTTATAAACTTGAAATTACGATGGTGTGTCGAATGTACAAGAAATGTGCAAGAAATTTGATGGAATAGTAAATTTTACTATTCAATTATTAGTTTGAAATTTATTAGTTGTTAAACTTGTAGTAAAAAAAAACCATGTTGGTCGATCTACGACCCACTGAACTGCAACTACGGTGTTGAATTTGATGAGTTGATAGAGGACCATATTGAACTATAAAATTAACGTCAATTTTTTTAAATCAAAATTTCAATTTATTCAAAAATAAATAATAAATTTGCGGCAATTTTAAGTGTTTCTTTGTAATTTTCTTATTTAAATAATTATTTATCCATTGTTGTTGAAAAAAATCTCTCACGCTATTTTCATTTCATGAAATCCCTCTTGACTTGATGTCAAAATTAACAACAACAACAAAAATAATAATAAGAGAGATTATATGTAGCCAGATATAAGACTTAATATTCGTGTTGAAATTTTAAAAATACAAAGACGAAAGAGAGATAAAAACTGCTTCTGATGTGAAACTGTTATATGATATATTTTCACCGTTATATATTACTATCCTTCAAAATTAATTCCCATTTATTATTTCGTATTGTATCTGTACTCTTAAGCTTAATTTTTCTTTCAAGTACAGCAATTTATTTTCCAAACCCAGGTATATTTAACATATTAATAAAACATGCTTACATAAAATTACAATAAATACATATTTTATAAACAAAATGATCTTTTTTTACCGACTTTTAAGATAAAAAAATATTCAGTGATGAATGAGAAGCTACTACTAAGGAGGCTGGAGAGTGGAGTGAACAAGGAAGGCAGTCTTTTTGTATAAATATAAAGTTATAATGTACAGAAATAAAATCACACTGCATATACAGTGACTGTAATAGTTATAATCCCAATGTTTTACAGTATGTACATGTTGCATGTTTTTAGACTTCATTTTAAAGATAGTTACTATCTTGAATGCAAAGCGTAAGTGAAATATATAAGTATTCAATGAGGGAGCGAAGTAATACGAACGCAGTTCAGGGGTTAAGTGAGAACAGTAAGCATTGTAAAGTCCTCTAGTTTTTAAAATTTCCTTAAAAATATTTAAAAAATTAAATTGGTGTGATATTTTTATTTATTAAAACTGGTGGATGAAACTATTGCTTTCAGATTTCTTCATGCGTTCATATCAATTGATTTTCACCGAATTTTTTTGATGTAAATGTATTAAAGACAATAAAAGATATTTGAGTATATATTTACTTTTTATTTTTTAAGTATTGGCAATTAAGCGTTCTGTAGATTAGAATAAAGGGGCAGTAGAAGTATTTGACTTATTCTTTTACGAATCGTAAAACAATTTCAACAATTAAATACATAAGTTGCGTCAAAAGAACGCAACATATATAAAATTTATCAGGAATTTGTGTCTGCGACACCATTTTGATAGAAATAATCATCGTAACTTTATATTGCTTGCTAACAAAAATTTAGAGGCTATATCTATATATATAAAAATCTCTTGTAAATTGGCCGATACAGCAGCTCCAATTAAGATGTTTGGCGTATCTTTGGTTTCCCAATTCATGAACGGGATCAAACCGTTATACATTTAGCAGTCCATCTTGAAAACGGTCAGAGCGTATATTTCACGAACGAGGCAGCGATTGACCAAGCTATAAATCCACCAAAAACTACACTCACCGAATTTTTTGAATTTTGTAATCGTGCGGATGCTTTTAATGCCGTTGCACGGACTTTACTCCACTCAGAAGTACCACACTATTTCACCTGGGCTCAAACGAAAAAATGGACACCTCGCAAGCAAGGTACACCGGTTGATGCATGTCCCGGTCTATTCAAATCAAACGCATTGGGGGGAATATTTACAGTCAAGGCAGACTGAGTGCTTTTATTTTCGACTGTTGTTGGTTGATGTCACCGGCTCATTGTCATTTCAAGCTATACGTAAATCGATGGACATCAGCATCCAACGCATAAAGATGCATGCCTTGCACTCGGCTTGCTGGAAGACGACAACCAGTGGGAATGTATGTTTGCTGAAGCAGCATTGAACTGTACTGCAAAGCAAATTCGTCTACTATTCTGCATCCATCGAATGCATTTGATTCGAAATCGAAGTGCATCTAATTTATTAAACACTGACATGAATCGTGAACTTCAATACAATACGATAGAAATGGAAGCGATTGCTACTCGCAATATTCCACTAATGAATGAGGAACGAAGGAACATTTATGACCGCATTATGCTTGCAGTTTCGACAGGACAAGGTTGATTTTTTATTGGATGCACCAGGTGGAACTGGTAAGACATTTATTATTTCGCAAATTCTCGCTGAAATACGATCAAATAATGTCATCGCGTTGGCCGTTGCATCATCTGGCATTGCGGTAACTTTATTGGATGGAGGCAGAACAGCTCATTCAGTATTTAAGCTGCCACTAAATATTCAAAACAACCCAGATGCAGTGTGCAACATAAAAAAGCAATCGTCTATGGCCACAGTGTTGAAAGACTGTTAAATTATCATCTGGGATGAATGCCCTATGGCACACAAACATTCGCTTGAGGCGTTGAACAGGACATTGAAAGATATGAAAAACAATGGCAAATTCTTTGGCGGCACTCTGTTACTCCTTTCAGGCGATTTCAGACAAACACTTCCCGTCATTCCGCGTTCAACGTACGATCATGAGATCAATGCCTGCTTGAAATCATCTCCACTGTGGCGTAATGTTGAAAAAGTTCAACTAAAAGTAAATATGCGAGTCCAAATGCTTCATGATCTATCTGCTGAAACATTCTCAAAACAATTGTTAGATATCGGTGATGGAGAAGCTACTAAAGATGAGACTGGATGCATAAAATTATTATTCTACACAATCATTGATTTACAAGATGCTTTCATTAACCTAATATTTCCCGATGTACACACGCAATACATTCATCATGAGTGGTTGGCAGAAAGGGTGATCTCAGCAGCAAAAAATGTGGACGTCAAAGAATTGAATCTGAAGATACAACAGTTATTGCCAGGTAACTTGGTGATATTCAAATCTGTTGATGCAGTTTGCGATCCCATTGAAGCTGAAATCCCACTGAATCCCGATCCCATTGAAGCAGAGTTTTTAAACTCACTGGATTTACCAGGCATACCACCGCATAATTTAGTACTCAAAGTTGGATTTCCGGTTATTTTGCTTCGTAATTTGAACCCACCATGGCTGTGCAACGGCAAGCGATTAGTCGTTAAAAAATTGATGAACAACGTTATCGAAGTCATTATTTTAAATGACAAATTCCAGGGTGAAAGTATGTTACTTCCACGAATCTCTATTATACCCACAAATGTGCCAATTCAATTTAAACGCATTCAGTTCCCCTAGATTGGCATTTGCAATGAAAAGGCCAAACAGTGTCTGTTTGTGTCTTAGATTCGAGCAAACCATGTTTTTCACACGAACAATTAATTATACGTGGCATGCTCTCGAGTGGGCAAACCATCCAGTTTATTTGTGTTAGCTAAAGATGGAAAGACAAAAAATAATGTACATTCCATTGCACTAAGAGATTAATATTGTTGACTAATATTTTCAGAATTCATTGTATATATAATTTATAAAAAAAAGTTGACATAAATTAAAAAAATTATTATTTGATGTGTTGTTATTTTCACATTTCGTCATCGTTCACAGCGCTCCATGCCTCTTCCACTCATATACCACATACGCACGCACTTATAATAAATAAGATATATTTTCATACTCTAGAAATAATTCATATGGCAAAACAACGTTTGCCGGGTCAGCTAGTATATATATATATATTGATCTATTTTCACCACACCATAGCCTCTGACAGAGAGTGAAAGATAAAGAAGAAGTAAAATCACCTTTCTGAAAAGCAGTGAATGTGATTGTGAAACCTGGATATCCAGACAGTGTTTTGTTATTCATCCCTTCTGTATGGTATATCAGATTCATTTTATTGTTGGAAGACGGATAATGTCTCTCCTCATCTTCGCTGTAGATTGGTTCACAGACACGTTCATTCTCTATCTGTTAACGGAAAAAAGAATATTCTTTATTTTCAAATCTTTATAAAAGACACTCTTATGCACATTAAGAGTTAAAAAGAAAAGCACTGAAATGTAAAATAGTTAGTAGGTGAAGTAAAATAATTACTGAATTAGTTTTCTTTGGTTTATCCAATAACAGTCATAAGACTTGCTGTTACGTTTCATAGAGTCATTAAAAAAATAACAGTGGTAAAAAAAAATCATTTTAAGTGAGTTTCTTAGCGACGTAAGAAATCATAACACGCCACGAGTGCTGTATTCAATAAAACTTTCCGAATTCTTTATAAAATATATTTCCAAGCTTATGGATAAGAGGATTTAAACAAACAAAAAAACAAGCAGAATACTTCAATAACTATTATGCAATTTCATGGTAATAACACATTCGCAAATATTTCAGCGTATTAATATGATATTAATTTATTCGTTGATATTAATATATTTATTCGATATTTTAATATCTGCCGAGGATAGATTAAGTGAAATATCAGTGTTCGAAGTACCAGTTAAATGCATAATATCACTTCACCTAAAAATCATTGATGTAGGGCATACCGGGCAAATGTACAAAGGGCATTGACATTTAACTACACTTACTACATATTTCTGACATTTACCAAAGCGACTATGTGATTGTGAACATTCATCGGTGTAAGTCTACAACCACCAAATATATATATATATATATATATATAATAC